CACAGTTTTATTTATCTAATGTATCGGCTGCCACAGTTTTACTGAAGTAATGGGTCAGTTTCCACAGTTTTATTTATCTAATGTATCGGCTGCCACAGTTTTACTGAAGTAATGGGTCAGTTTCCACAGTTTTATTGAAGTAATGGGTCAGTTGCCACAGTTTTATTCATCCACTATATCAGCTGCCACAGTCTTGTTCGTCTAATGTATCAGCTGCCACAGTTTTATTGAAGTAATGGGTCAGTTGCCACAGTTTTATTCATCCAATATATCAGCTGCCACAGTTTTATTCATCTAATGTATCAGCTGCCACAATTTTATTCATCTAATGTATCAGCTGCCACAGTTATTCATGTAACAGTTTTTCTCAGTATGGCCCACCTTTTTACTAAATTTATGTACATTATAATTCACTTAAGTTATCTTTGACATTTGAGTTTTGTGTATTTCACTTTACGGACCAAGTTACATCACACGCATCAACCATTTCGTTTAATCTACTTTAAGAATATCCGGTTATTGCGGTAATCAACATCCAATTTTCAGAATACCGCCACTATATCACTTTATTGTTAAGACTAATTGTCGTAGATTGTAATGTTAGTGAAGGTATAATTATAGCACCATTACACTTTATAGTTAAGACTAATTGTCGTAGATTGTAATGTTAGTGAAGGTATAATTATAGCACCATTACACTTTATAGTTAAGACTAATTGTCGTAGATTGTAATGTTAGTGAAGGTTTATAGCACCATTACACTTTATAGTTAAGACTAATTGTCGTAGATTGTAATGTTAGTGAACGTTTTTAGCACCATTACACTTTATAGTTAAGACTAATTGTCGTAGATTGTAATGTTAGTGAACGTTTTTAGCACCATTACACTTTATAGTTAAGACTAATTGTCATAGATTGTAATGTTAGTGAAGGTTTTTAGCAGCTGTTCTGGTAGAAGCTGATAAATAACAATAAAAACACGGCACGATTGTTGCTTACGTTCAGTGTTTAGTACATATGTAGTTCTTTGTTAAATACCATAAAAGTATTTGTCGATTCTTCTTATAACGATGAACAAACACACTCGCAACTAATTGCTGTGTTTTGGCACTGTTCCAAGTCCCTGACCCTTATGATTTCCACACGAAACGTGGTAATAATATTAAATTATTATGTTATGCTACTGCTAATGATGCGAAACGTGATACGTTAGTTGCTGACAGATCCGAGATCACATTGAAATAATATTGATAATAATTTTATATTTTTGATGGTCTTTGGCACTTGGCGACAGGCCTTGTCGGCAACAACCTACATAGGATAAGCGTATAAATTCATTAAGGCGTTACAGAGATAATACTCGTGACAAACAACATAACACAACGTTCTCGAGTTGAGCATAAGATTACTAAAACCTCATCCTTTTACTTTAAATCACATGACTTTGGTATAGTTGAGAAACGCCATTGGACATCAGTCAGAAACTCATTAGTCATTTCTATTCGTAAGCCAAACTGTTTTGTGACTCCTATTGAAATTTTTATAAATGTTATATGGAGTATTACAGCAGCACCTGGTTCGTTGTGCATTATTTTTTAAAGGAATGTCGGAGTAGACTAGTGTCCAAGTTTCGGCACTCTTGCCGTCATTAGATTACAACTTTTTAAAAATCTTCTGACAGACCAAAAACGTTTAAAAAAGTTTATTGTGCATAGTAAATGTGTAAATTTCAAATTAAACAGTGTAGATAAACGCAAAATATATATGTTTCTAAATACAGGCTGCCTGGCCTGGCCAGTGGGGTTAGGACGCTCGGCTCGCACTCTGCAGGTCGCGTGATCAAATGAGACATGTTCGCTCTTTCAGCAGTGGGACGTTATAGTGTGATCTATTAACTGACAGTCACTGTATATTCATGATAGTCTGATCTATTAACCTACAGTTTGAATATACTCATCATAATCTGATCTTTTAATCTACAGACTCTAAATATTCATGATAGCCTGATCTGTTAACCTACAGTCTATATATATTCATGATAGCTTAATCTGTTAACTTACAGTCTCTATATATTCATGATAGCCTGATCTGTTAAATTACAGTCTCTATATATTAATGATAGCCTGATCTGTTAATTTACAGTCTATATATATATTCATGATAGCTTAATCTGTTAACTTACAGTCTCTATATATTCATGATAGCCTGATCTGTTAAATTACAGTCTCTATATATTAATGATAGACTGATCTGTTAATTTACAGTCTCTATATATTCATGATAGCCTGATCTGTTAAATTACAGTCTCTATATATTCATGATAGCCTGATCTGTTAATTTACAGTCTCTTTCTATTAATGATAATCTGATCTTGTAATCTAAAGTCTATATATATTCGTGATAATCTGATCAGTTATTCGACATTCTGTATATATTCTTGATAATTTGATCCGTTAACCTATAGTCTGTATATGTTCATGATAATCTGATGTGTTAACTTACAGTCTTTACATATATATTTGTGATAGTCTGATCTGTTAACTTACAGTCTCTATATAGTCATGATAATCTGGTCTGTTAACTCACAGTCTCTATATATTCATGATAATCCGATCTGCTAATCTAAAGTCTCTATATGTTAATAATAGTTTGATCTGTTAATCTAAAGTCTGTATATTCATGATAATCTGACCTGTTAATCTAAAGTCTCTATATGTTAATAATAGTTTGATCTGTTAATCTAAAGTCTGTATATTCATGATAATCTGACCTGTTAATCTAAAGTATCTATATATTCATGATAATCTGATCTGTTAATATAAAGTCTATATATATTCATGATAATCTAATATGTTAATATAAAGTCTCTATATATTTATGATAATGTAATCTGTTAATATAAAATCTATATATTCATGATAATCTGATCTGTTAATATAAAGTCTATATATTCATGATAGTCCTATCTCTTAATCTAAAGTCTCTATATATTCATGATAATCTAATCTGTTAACTTACAGTCATTAAATAAATGTGATGTCTTAGTTAATTAGTTTAGTATCTGTTAAAGTATATGCTGCAATCTAAGATAGCGACTCGTGTTTCAAGTCAGATAACTTGTATTTATTTATGACACGGTAAATGTCAGCTTATTTTCACTCGCTCCGTGTTAATGTAATATTTTCACATGTAATTAAAACATATATAAATCACCATATTCAGCAGCCTTCTGCTTTTTATAGTACAAAGGGTATTTTGTAAATATTAACAATTGTTTATTACTTTTCTCTGCTGTAGATGGCGCAGAATGAACAGTTGAAATCAGCCTTCACCTGGATGATCATGTGGTTCTGGAGAGTTTGCAATGCGCATTGTTTAATCCAGTTTTTATTGATAGCAATAGTTATGGGTAACATGTGGGTAAGTCAAATGTCAATCATCTTCAGTGTTTTTCTTTAATGTTATACCAGTATTAATCGAACCCTCTATTGCACGTGTCTAGGTTCCGCTACGTACCGAGTTTATTTTCCTACTTTTCAATGAAATAATACAGATTAGAATTGAGTACTGGCTGTTAGAGTACTCCACTCGCAATTTGTGGGTCACGGGTTCGAATCCCATCACCGAATATGCTCGTCCTTTCAGCCATGGGGTCTTTATAATGTGATGATCCATATCACTTTTCGTTCATAAAGAGTAGTCTAAGAGTTGGCGGGGGTAGTGTTGACTAGCTGCTGCCTTCCCCTCTCGAATCTATCAGTTGAAAACTAAGGACGATAACGCAGGTAGCTCTTGAGTAGCTTTACGCGAAACTCAATAAACAGACAGACACGGAATTTAGTATAGAAACGTAAGTAATCAATTAAGAATCCTTGATTTTGTTTTTTTCAAGCAGGTTATAGAAATTATTTATTTATAGCTCGAATAATCGACAAATAATGTAATACGTTGATATAAATACTGTAAACAAATGTTTTTCGCGTACTTGCACTTTCTGTCTATAACTACAACGTTTCTCCGATAGAAGAAATTCCATAGATCAAACTACGTGGTTTGTTGATTTAAAGTTATTTCATTTGTTTGAGAAAGATTCTGTGTTGCTAGTTATTAAGGAATACAGTTTTCCATTATCAACTGAAGTGCCAGTGAAAAGACACAGATCATTCCTGAACGACAATGATCTGTGTCTTTTCACTGGCTGAACGACAATGATCTGTGTCTTTTCACTGGTTGAACGACAATGATCTGTGTCTTTTCACTGGCTGAACGAC